CGATGAAGGTCACTTTATATGTTTTATACATATGTTTTACCTCATATTGAAGCACCAATTGTGCGTTCAGTATAGAGAGATTAGAGTATAACTATTGTATATTAAAGCATATAAATCCCCAGCATGTTAATGACCTTTGACCTTTTCTTTGATAAACTGATTAGAAAGCAACACATACATCTTTTTTGGTGTCTTTTTATTTAGTAACTGGAAACTATTTTAATATCAATTTTGGACTGATACCAGGATTTATGTTGTATATCATTATAAGAAGTATTTTAATGTTTAATTTTGAATTTGAGATCATGTTGTTCAAATTATTGACAAGATTTTTATTAAAGAGTAAATTAGATGTTTTCTTAACATTTTTTTTAGAATCTGTATTTGCTGTAGGTTTTTCTAGAAAAAAGCATTTTTATATTGATCGAATTTGATATGTATAAAATGTAAATAGTATGTGTATTGTAGATATATAAATGATTGTTTTATAATTTGTTATGTGTTTCATTGAATCATGATAGTGATGAATTTATAATTGTCATCAATTCATGGATTAACTTACATACAAGTTGTACCGTTTATTTTAGTAATTTTTCTTCTCTTTGAATTTTTTGTTTTACTGATGTAATAAACGGTGAGAAAACTGGTAATAAATGTTGTTGTTATTAAGACATTGATGTTATATGTTTTGATAGCTGAAGTTCCTATTTAGCAATCTAACAGTCAGATATTACCAGTGCTCCTGGATTCTTTATCAGTGCTTACCTGTTGTTTTTTCACAGATAACTACCAACTTTTTCAAAGAGTTAGTCTAATGGATAAAATGGGCTGATAATGTTGGTTCGAGTCTGGGCCATATTTCCTTGTTTAACACCAGCACTAGTTAGTTTCAGGAAGCAGACTCTAGAGTGATTCAAATATTTTTTTCTTTACAATGGAGCTAAAATATTTTTAACTAACTTTAATGTTTGTCGAGCCTGCTTGCTGTGAGCTTGACTTAGTTGCCTATTTTGACGTTTTTTCTGTGCATGTACGCCCGGACTTGTACTGTCTATATTTTGCTCATTCTTTGAAGGATTACAAAATTATTCAATATAAATGTTCACTGTGTTGGTATGTCGCACACAAAACCCAGGTCAAGATCACACTTAGGGGTCAGCGCAAAACCCTTGTCCGGAGTTTAACATCTATATACATGAAAAGATTTTAATATAACTTAGCAAAAATATTCTACATGTTGTGTTGAGTTGTCTTGAGAAAAATATGGGGTCAAGGTCAAATGAAAAATAGTAAAACTTGGTTGAACGCTCTGTTTCTTGCTTATACATGTACTTTGAAGTATTATGCTTAGTGGTCAGAGGATTTTTGAGGCTGAGCTCGACATAACTGTCAAAAAGTCTGCAGTGTTTGTGTGTCGTGTTTGCATCCAAATATGTCCATGAACCGGGTCAAAAGTCAAGGTCATTTAAGATGATGCATTGTAAAGAGTTTGGCTTTGGTATCAATAAGATGTGATGTGCAAATCTCACCTACATATACATCTTTCTCCTTGATATGAAGCTTATAGGTTCAGGTTTGAATTAAGACAAGCGGGCTTGACATTCTGCCCTTGGGCATGTCTTGTCTGCAAGAAATTTTACATCTGTAATGTCCTTAATTAAAAGCTTACTGATAATTCTTTGACTTGTTTCTACTTTGTGAAGTAATTTCCTTCATTACCTGCCAAACTTGCATTTGAATATTCCATTGTCATTAAATGAATTGTGTAAATTTTCGCCCAAACAGATTAATCTAGCTATTACCATAAATAATAATTTTGATGTGACCCGAGCTGTGTAGAACAGAAGAAAGCATTTTAGCTTACCTGTGCTCCAGAAGTGAGCTTTTGTAATGACAGTAGTCGGGCGTTATTTACAATTTCTTTAAACAACATCGCCTTATGGTCCTCTTCAAAAGTTATATAAATCTTGCCTCTAAAGTATTCCAAAGCTTAAAGGGACTCCACTGAGGTTTTTTGACATTAAGGGACTGAAAATATTTTTCCAGATAAATAGACCATTTGAAGTAGGTTGAGACCACTAATCTTTGTGCAAAATTTCAGATTATTCGCGCACTTCGTTTTTCCGGAATAATTATTCAAATTGTAAAAAAATGACACAAAATGAAAGACGTTTAAACGCTTTTCACTCAAAACGGGCTAAAATGCATAAAAAAAAACGATTTTCAATTTATTTCAAAGTATACTTCTTAACTATCTTTGCATATATTGCTGTTTAAAGTACCCCAGCTCATGTATGTAAGAAATTCAAATATTATGTTTTTAGGCTTTTAAACCTCAGTGGAGTCCCTTTAATTATTTGTCTAGTTTACTTATACAAACGTTAATTTATGCCCTTTGGACCAAAGATGACCAGCCCTGAGGGTCACTTGGATTACTTAAACTTTTATAGAAAATATATCTGTAAAATCTTTGGCTAGGACATACATATTGTGTCAGTCCTGTACAACTATTGCAATACATTTAAGATAAATCTTCATAAAACTCAAATGAACAGAGCATAGATTTTTGGTATGTAGCATTTCTTACATACTACAACAACAATTACATGAATAATGGTCTAGGTTCAACAATGGGGGTCACTGACATACCGGTATATAAAGTAAAAATGTCTTAAACATCTCATCATCTTTTTGTCTACAAAATTTATTAAAATCCTCCCCCAAGGGTTAAAGTTGGTACCCGGAGGTTAGTTAGTCATATAGGAAGATACATTTAGATATTGTGGAAAATATCAATGATAAGTCCTTAGATATTTTGGAACGGACATGTAACATTGCATAGTAGACTTCTACTAAAGTTATTTAGATCAGACCCTTTGTGTAAAATATTTCACAATGGTTAAGAAAGTTATTGGTCATGTTTACTACGTATAATGAATAAAGTCACTGATATTTAAGATTGTTTATTTTGTGAATAAATCAATGTATTTACAAATATATGTATCAAAGTATGTAAGTTACTTTTGCTAGAAGATAATGAACAGAATCATCAATGGAAGCACTTAAATTAAATGATTTTTGATGCAACTATAAACATGACTTATATATCTATATACATGTATATAAACAAGCTATACACGATCAAAATCAAGTTTTCGGAATGGCTACTAAAATCAAAATTTTTAGTACACAGTGTAATAAGTAGAAAAAAAGAACAAAACAGAAAAAAAAAAAGTTTAAATTACAACAAAATTGTAACATTAAAGCAGCACACCTCCAGATTCATGCTAATTTTTATGAAAATGTATTAAAATGTAAAATGTTGTGAAGTGAACAAAGTAAATAATTTTCACATTGCAAACAGTACTTACAACCCATGTAAATTACCAACAAGAGTTGTAAACATGCAAAAAATAGCCCTAACGCAGTAGAATTATGGTGAAAATACTGCAAAATTGGTCATTAATCACACATAACATGGAATTTTTTTTATCTTGAATCTTTTCACTTAAATTTTAGTACATGTACTTTAATTGGATATTAATTGGAAAATATAGATACACGGCCAAATGTTTAACGGAAGCGGATTCAGCTGTTTAGAAAATTAAAGTACACACAATAGGCTTCGAGTTTTCAGACTGCATAACTTATTTACAGCGTACGTAAACGAAAGTAACAAGTTGGTAACCTTGTGCTTTTTGAGTTGATTTTGAAGTGTAAAATACGCCGATGCGAACGTTATCAAGAACTGAAATAAGTATTGGGAACATCCAAATAATCATAAGATTAACTTATTACTGTCATGTAAAAGTAATAAGTTAATCTTATGATTATTTGGTTAATATCCATATCAAATCAATATTGTACTCGGAGTAACAAAGTTCTGTCAAAATGATGGACATTGACGGTGTGAAATAACATTGATAAGTACATTATTGAATTTCATTGGACGAGTACTAGCTGTCAAACTTATAATGGATGAGACGCTAGCTGGTTTGTTCCGCTGTTGTTATGTAACGTAGTATTTTCTATGATCCATATGCCGTTTTATGAACCCATTTTGCTGTGTTCATTTCATGAAATTTAACACTATAGTAATACATGTATACAGTATCAATTTCATGTGAAGCTTATTTCTATAGAGCAGTAAGGTTGAACACTTATACATGTGTATACAAATAAGCATTCTCGTTATTTACAATTGCTCTATATATTTTCATTATAAAAATCCACAAGCAAAATTGGTAACGTCGTCGACACATTTTATCATGGTACTACTTTGATTGGAATATAATTAACATTTTTACAATAATTTGTAGTTGACTGTCTTTGTGACAATAGTCGATTATTATAAGCTGTACATATAGAACAAACAAATACTATTTTGGAACTGTTTTATAATATTGAGAACTTGAGACAACTCCAGTAGTATTTAAAATATTTATATTGTGAACTATGTTTCAAATTCTTCACTTTTATGTGAATAACACGTTTTAGTGTCACATGATACAAATGATAAGGAGTAAATTTTACTGCTATAATACTGGAGTTCTTTGATTACATGTAATGATCAAAAGTTTTATATTCATTAACAATGACTATGTGTATACAATCATTTAAAATAGTGTGACTTACTTTTTTAAATATTCATTATAACATACATGTATGGTGTATTGATAAAACAAAATTATAAACATTTTACCTTGATAAAAAGGCAATCAATTGACTTATTATCATATCAGTTATCACGTCAAACAAACCTTGTTTCAAATTATATACATGTATATTAATATGCGTCTAATGTTCTGATTTTAGAACAGGGTAGATAATTTTTCATGCAGTATCTTGAAGAGCATTACATGAAATACGGATGATATTTCAATATATGGTCAATATTAATATATTGATTGATGTATTAGTATTTTGTATGAGCAGTTATATTTTTTAAGAAAATCAAATTTATATCGGAAAATAAACATAGTGTGTTGTGCATGCCATTTTTCGAGCTTCAATTTCTTAAATTTCAGTAAAGAATAGATACAAAATATGACACTTAGTTCTATTTTCGATACTTCACATGTATTATCAAACAGAGATATTACCAATGTTAACAGGTAGCAATATCATAGGCAAAATGTAGCAAGATATGCTTGTTTTATTTAAACTGGTTGTTAATGTTAAAGAACATTCATTTTACCACAAAACTATTATGATAATCAAGTTTGATAGTGTCACGCCAAGTCAATGGTGTATCTGATTACCCTAAAAGTATAATCTATGTCTTAGACAACGTGTACACGTTTACTTCGTTTGAACTGCACCCTACTAACAGCCGAGAACTCTTTTTGTCAAAAGCCAATGCAAACGGTCCCTTTAGTTGTTCAGAAGCTCCCAACAGTTCACTGATCTTTTCACCTTTCATGTTAACCTGCAGTACATTGTATGAGCTAAATCCACTGACTAAGATTATGTCTCCTGGCAGGATACAGACTCCCCATGGTCTCTGCAATCCTGGATCAGTAAATGTCCAAACCTCTTCACCATCTCTTGCCAATGCCTTCACATTATTCCCGTTGTCATTTGAAACAACCATGATCTGATTATTTGTGTTCATTGCTACTTGTCTTGTTCCTGTAAATAGCTGGTCACCATTTTTATTCTTCTCATATATTTTTATTAAGTTACCGGACTTGCTATATATTGATATTTTATCGCTGTCACATAACATGATAGCGTCAAATGTTGTATCATAACAAACACCAACTGGAAAACTAAAGTTGCCAAGATTTATTGCTGATGACATCTGCATAGCTTTTCCGAGCGAAAAAAGCTGTATCTGACATTTACCCTTTATGTATGTTGCAACCTCGTTTTGTCCTACTCTGCATACCGAGTATGGACGTCCACCTACTTCAACAAAATCTGTTACCGTATATTTGTCGTTCAGTCGCTTCAGTTTTGAATGTGTGTAATCGGCAATGACAAATGAACCATCATCCATGGTACATATACCAGTTACCTCACAATTTTCCGGATCGATCTTGTATTTCCCAGAAAGTGTTGCTTTGTATTCCTTCACACCGATGACATCAACCGAACTCTCAATGTAAACATCAGAGACCAGACTCTCATTGTCATTTAGTTTATCTTTCAGACTGTTATTCGCCACCAATCCCAACTTCTCATTTACTTTACCTGTTGATAATTTACTCAAAAAAGTTTCACAATCCCTGATAGAAACTTTACTTGCTTTGAGATTAAGAAACAACTGGGATTCATTTTTTTCTGACAGTTTCCGGAGATCTGTTGTTGTCGTTGTTAAAATAGTATTTAAAGCGTCTAGATCTGACTGGATATGTTTCTTTACTTCTACATACTTCAATGATACTTGTTGTTTCGAAGTTTTTACCAGCTCTTCAACTTTCATCAGAATTTCCGTTTTCAACTTTTCTATCTCTTCAAATAACTGCTCCTTATCCTTCTGAAGTATTTTGAGATTATCCGTTTTACCTTCTATCACACCTCTTAATTCGATGAGAACATTCTCGAGTGATGATTTAGTTTTTTCATACTCAGTACTGTTGTTTATACCATGGGCAACGTCTGGTAGATAATCAACATTTATACATGACCTGAAATATTAATATATTTTGGTTTCACAATTAGGCATTTACCTGTTTACAGATTAAGTATGAATTGTATTAGGTTAAGTACATAACATTTGCATATTATTTCTAGCGAGGTTAAAATATTGTTTGCCTCACTTACTACATGATATTGTAATGAGTTTTGTGTAACTATATTGAATGACTAGCAAAAATATGGACACCACACATGTTTAATTATCATGTTTCATATGTCATTTTAGAATTGTAATGAATATTTATTTTTTGATATCTGCACATCTGGTCTATAATACATGTAGGTAATTTTACTTAAAGCAGCACGCCTCCAAATTCATACTTATTTTCACGAAAAATAGGAAAATGTATTTGAATGTGTAATATTGTGAAGTAACCAAAAGGAAGCAGTTTACACATTATCAATGGCACTTACACACCACGAAAATTACCAAAACGTGGTCAAAATATGCATAAATACCCTTTACTGCGTTAGTATTGCAGTAGAAATATAATTGTAAATACTGAAAAATCAGTCATTAATCGCATATAATATGTAAAATATTACTTGAATCTTGAAACGTTTTACTTTTCCATACATCTTAGTACATTTTTCTCAAGTTTGATTTTATTGAAATATTTTGACTCATCTGGATTAGTTAATTAGTAATATTATTATTATTTGCTTTTAGGTATCATTTATAACTTCAACCATAAAGTCAAAAAGAAAAGGTATAAAATGTGTCGCATTCAACTAGTGAACCATTAATAACATCGTTTAGTCATCGTTAATCGTATACAATACGTCACGTTTTAATACAGCATATCAATTGTATCATTTTAAATTCAGTACTTTACGAGATGTATGAACAATTTTTTACCTGTGTTTTATAGCTATACATGCTGCACAACAAACTTCATCATGGTCTTTACAAAACATGTCCACTAACTTGCCATGATGAATTGCGCACCTTTCTGTTTGGTAGTCCGGGTCCTGTTTCAATAATTCCATCTGATCTAATTTTATCTGATTTGTCTAATATCTGGTGTGATCTTAATGCTGGAAATTTGTTGTGATACTCGAGACATTTAGAACAGAAATACGACCCACAATCCACACAAAACTTAACTGCTTCCAGTAGTTTTCCAGATTCCGGGAACACGGTGAGCAATTTGTATCAAAAATCTCCTCTGAACTAACAACAACAGACGACTTAATGTCCTTACCTGTCGCCATTTTGTGGGAGAGGTTAAACTTTGATCCTTTCAATGTAACTATAATTTGACCTCCCAAGTACTACTTCCTGGTTACAGTAGAATCTATCTTTTATGATAAAATGAAATAACATAGACACAGAAATATTTATCTCTCCTTTTTACGATAACGAATAACTAATTACTATCGAAAGTTGCCAAACTTTCATACATATACTGTAAACATGTAAGGTTATACCGGGTTTTTTGTCAATGTAAATTATTTTTGAGGTCAATATAAACCGATATGTGTTTGAAGGGTGTACACCACTAAATCTATACTTATCTTGGAATACCTTTTATAAAATACAATACATAACGGGGTAAGATATTTCATAATCCCGTGATGTGATAAGTGTATTATACCATGTATACTATATAAGCTAAAGTTTGGTTTAACGTTTTATCGTATTAACTCACATTAAACAACACTATTTATATACTGGTGCCTAATATTTCCGTGGTACTTAAATGGTTAACAAAGACAACAAAAGTTAGGAGAATAAAATTCGTGAAAATATGTTGAATATTGTAGCAAAGACATGTCAATTACATCATAGTTTATTCCATTTCATGTTTGCATGTAAGCAATTATGTACAAAAAGTGGCAATTAACACCTATATGCTACCAGGTGAGTAAAGGTGTGTTCTCATATTTCCAAAGCAATTACATTTTAACAGCTTTAAAAGCAAAACCAATAGTAATGTTTATTTCTTAGTTGAAGAAGAAGAAGAAGAAGAAGAAAAATTTATTTATTATAGTGACTTGCGATACATGTATATAGTACAAACAGATATAAAACAATTACAGAATAAATAAATCGCCCGGCCCCATGGACCTATAAGTCACTGTTTATAGAAAAACGTCATTTATGTAAACATAGACAATCGAGTTGATTTAACGTCTTATGAATAAATATATATATATGAATGGTATTAATATGTTTAAAACATAACACCTGCCTAAACTTATCATAATAGTGTACATAGTTCGATGATAAACTTTCCTGAAAATCCTTGAGTTCGAATAGGTAATACATATAATTACACTTCAGTATTTCTATAAATGATATTCCGTCTATGTAAATAAGCTTTAACTAAGTATTTTGCAATCTTTCTAACGTGGTTTGAAAACAAGAAGATTAATTTGTCATCGACACTCAAATCCATAAATACATTATCATTTAATATTTCACCAAATGATTGCGATCTTATCTCATTATATTTTGGACAATTAAGCAAGAAATGTACTTCGTTTTCAACACAACTGTCATTGCATAGCCTACAAAGTCTATCATTCAACGGTTCTCCAATATATCTTCCTGTTTCGACTCTAAGTGGAAGAATCCCGCATCTAAATTGTGCTATAATGGAGCGTTCATATTTCGACAAATTAAATAAAACATAGTCCTCTGTGTTAAAATTGCATTTAATAATTTGTAAGTTCTAAGCTTTGGAGTGTTTTTGCACAGTTTCTATCCACTGTCTACTATAGAGGGTTTTTTAGTTTCAGTTCAGCGGTTTGAAGATCAATTATGGATCTGCTGTAATAAGCATGCGAGAGATCAAGTGACGTCATTATTGATTTTATCTCACTACACCAGTTATTGTTACATAGCATATAGTCTTGATCAAACACTAATTTGGTAATCCTATCGCTGTCAAAATTAATCAATCTATTCCAGAATCTAAGCATATTCAACCACCTACGGTAACGACTTGGTACCCATCCCAAGTCACCGGAAAGTGCAGCTATTGGTGCGTAACGGTGTACCCCCAAATAATATCTCATAGATCTATTGTGAACGTTGTCAATTTGCTGGTATGTTTTGTATCCCCAAATAGATGAACAGTAATCCATGACTGGAACAACACAATTAAATACAAGTTTTTCATATGATTTGAACCCGAAATCCGTAATACCGTGGATTTTATTAATTAACCCTCCAAAAGCCCGGCTGGCTGCCTTGCCGATTGCCTCACAATGACTTTTAAACGATAACATTTCATCAAATATAACACCAAGATATTTGTATTCAGTAACTACATCCAATGTATTGCTACCAACATGATAGTTGAATTGTGTTCTTGGTAGACGCGGTTTTCTGAAGTGCAAACATTTTGATTTCTCTGTATTTATCAAAACGCGCCATTTTTTACACCACTCATGAAGTGTATCTAACATTTTTTGTAAGTCAATTTCTGATTTTGCGATCAGAGCAATGTCATCTGCGTAAAGTAAAATAGAAATCGAGGCATTGTTAATAGTTACACCAAGTTCAAGGTCATTAATTTCTCGGACTAGATCATTTACAAAAATTGCGAAAAGCGTCGGCGATAAATTACTTCCCTGGGCGACGCCTGACTTACAGTAAAACCAAGATGTAACGTTGTTGTTTATTCGAATACATGAAATTGTGTGTTTGTACATACTTTTCACTGCATTGTAAACTTTCCCGTCTATTCCATTTAGTAGAAGCTTGTAAAATAACATATCTCAGACTCTATCTACAAAGTCAAAAGCTTTGCGAAGATCTATAAAGGCGGTATGTAAGTTGTCTTGGTTACGAGCAAGACTATTTAAAGTAAATATATGATCCTCACACGATCTTCTTCGCCTGAATCCATTCTGCTCATCGGCCAATAAGTTTTCGTTTTCTAAATAGAATGTTATTCTTTTGTTTATCAAAGAGCTATATAATTTACCTACACATGAAAAGTAAAGATACACCTCTATAGTTCAACGGTAATCGTGTTGTCAGAACTCTTGTCTTTTAGAATCGGACATATAATTGCCTTTCTCCAGTCGCTAGGAATAACACTCGTGTCGAAAATAAGTTGAAAAAGTTTATGCAATACTGCTATAACCGGGGGAAATTTTAAAACTGCATAAGGTATATTATCGATGCCGCAGGCCGACTTCGATTTGCACTCATTACAACGTTAACGATTTCTTCGATGGAGATATTATTATTCAGCAGTTCTTTTGGGCGTAAAGAGGGTCAGAAATTGACATTTCAAGTAAGTATATGTTTGTGTAACTTCGCTCTATTGTAGAATTCGGAGTCAACCTCGTCACTTCCGGTGCTATTATACAAGTTTTCGAAATCCCGTTTCCATTTGTCAAAAACTGCATTTTCATCTTTATCAATGCGCCCATGCTCATTAACTATTTCCATTGGTATCGAAGAGTCACGTTTTGGACCGAGATGCTTAATTTTATTCCAGAACTCATTTGGGTTTTGAAGTTTGACATGAACTCTATTTCTACTGAAAAGCTTCTTTTATAATCTCTCTCCGTTTTTCGTAAAAGTTTATTGAAGTTATTTCGCGCTGCTATATATTTTGATCGCTTTAACCGTTTTTATTTGCCTCGTGTCGTTACAACTTCAGAAAATCATTCTCGGCTAGGCGCATTTGGTTCCATTTCTCTGTCAAAGCTTCGTTTCAGTACGGCTTAGCATTTTGTTACGTTTACTTGTCCTGCGCGTGATGCATTATAAACGTGGGATGCTGTGATTCATTTCATTGGTAATTGTTTCACACAACTTGTTATACAGTGAGTCTATTTCCTCTTGACTTTCTCGTGATGATTCTATGCTTTCTATAATTTCTATTAGAGCCCGTTTTGCTATATCCCTATCCATGAAATTATCGGGAATGAGATTAAGTTTATACCTTAACTGTGACGGTGTATTTGTATTATTATCTAATTGTCCGTTTTGAGGGATACAATAATCACAATTCAATGAGACGTGTGTCAATAACGCCGAGTGATCTGGTAGACATGAATCTATGACCAATATATCCGTGTAATTCGTATTCATCAATAATACATTGCATTTGATAATATTTTGAACATAATGCACTTTTGAAAACCGTCATGCGGCACACATATATAATCCACTACTTTGATTTTCCCTTTGGCTATTATACTAGTGAATGCGTCATTTTCGAAGCGAGAATTCAAGGTGCAAAACTTTGAATCTATCAGGAAATCTATAAAATTCTCGCCCATGCTGATTGATACAATTATCAATAGGTTTTCTTTCAGGCAAAGAGTCAACACTTTGTAATATATCTGATAATGTCCCTATTCTGGGTTAAAATCAGCAGCAAGAAAAAAATTGTATCATATTCACTATTTAAGTAAATTATGGAAAGAATGTGTGCAAAAAAGGTCTGCGCATCTCTTCCCCAAACTGAGTTTTCCGGTGGTAGATATGCAGATATTACCAATTGAACAGTAATCTGTATGCTTACATTTAAATTGGCAGAGAAAGGATTCCTTCAAATGAGCTTTCGATTATTGAAATTTCAAACACCTCAAATAAACGCGCTTTTACTAGAATTCCAACACCTCCCGAACCTCGAACTGCATTTACAATGAATATTTTTACGATTATTACCAAACCAGACGTATCCATCTACATTTATGACTTTTTTCCCCAGTTAAGTGAGTCTCACATATTGAAAAAAATGTCAGCATCAATGGATTTAATAATAGCGCATCTTAAATCATTATTATTTTCAGTCCAACCGCTTACATTTAGGTGAGCTATTTTCAACATGCCTTGGGGCCAGGATTTATTCTATTGCATTCCGGAACTAGCATCAAAACTCGGGGCAGAAGATTAGTTAATCTATTCCTAGCCCTGTCTGAATGTGGGTATTTTCTCTATGGCATTTATCAAATATCTAAATGGTTGTTGAACAAAGACGGTTGTCTAAAAAGTATAAAAACTTAAAGTAGAATGTTGAAATAATTGACTTTGCTCTTAATCTGAATAAGGCCGTGTCACACCTATCCAATTCTTGAATGCAAGTATCATATTCTCTTGTATTGGATAGTGTAGACGTCCTACTTGAATGAGTTTTAAAGAGAAATTATGTGACATCCATGAAGATAATTTCTTGCAAGAAAATTAGAACAGGTTCTATTTTTCTACAATTTTTTGGCTGTCAAGATACTGATAACACCAGTTTGACACAAAACATGTGCCCGAAGGTTTGATAGTGCTGTTATTTTTATTATTTTCAGTGATTCAGTGTACATGC